ATGTGATGTAATTTCCCCCTCAACTTTACATTCTTTTCTACAAACTCCACAGGTATATCCAAGGCATTTGTGAACTTTGTTGTCTATTGATGGAAGGAAGAGCACGATCAAGTTTCAAGTTAAAAACGCAGAGCAGTTACAACCCCATTAAATCCAACGTTTTCTCTTAAAAATAGTTTGGGAAATTGCACATCTATTACCAGACACCATGGAAAAGTAATACATATAAATACAAATAATATAATACTTACTAATATATGTTTATTACTCTAAATTCAATTTAGAATCAGCTGCAGAAGCTGGGCCAACCTCTCCAGGCACTTACCACCTTCCCTGTTTTACAGGACTTGCAAGATCAGGGCGGCCACAAAAGGCAGGTTTAGAGAAAGAACAGAAACTGCCATTTTTTGAGCGATGCCTATTGAAGTTCACTCGATACGCCGTGAAAAGAGTGCTTTAGAAGCTGCCTGAATGGCGCTGGGTAAGGGTGAAAGGAAGGCAGAGCACAGACACGCCGAAAACAAAGGCGGAGCAGGGAGGGCAGAAACGGCTCCGCCTTTGATAAGGGAGGAACAGAGACAGACAAAGGCAGGGAAACAGCTTGGGGAAGATCAGAAGGAGATTAAATTTGATACCACAGTCCGGGAGGATCCAAAGGGGACGGTTATGTGATCACACAGAAAAAAACGAGCTGGGCAGCAGCAAAGACTTGGACTGCAGTGCAGGAATGGAGCAGCCACTGGTTTGGGGTGGACAGAGAAGGACAGGTGAGACCCCAGAGGACTGGGGTGGAAGGAGAAGGACAGGTGAGACCCAACAAGATTGGGGTGGAAGGAGAAGGGCAGGCAAGACCCTACAGGATGGGGATGGAGGGAGAAAGACAGGTGAGACCCCCAAACTTTAAGACACTGAGGTCTCACTCTAAGAGACCTTTGCAGAGCAATGATCTACTACTACTACACAGCTGTGAAACACACTGACCTGCTGATACACAACTGCTGGAAAATAAAACCCCCAAACACCCCAACTAAAGGAAAAGATCTGTCTCTGTGTGTTATCTCTTCAGCAAATCTCTTCCTCTGTGCTCCATAAGGCCTCCCACTAGGAATACAGGAATTGAGGACCTTGCAGGCAGAAAGCCTGAAGGTTTTTACGAACACAACTCGATCAAGGCTGATCCCATTTGCTCTGGAGGCTCCACCAGCCTGGTTAATGCCTTCACAGGTCCTTGGGTTAAACACAAACAGATAAAAAAGAATTCTGGCAACATGTGTAGTTCATGTTTATGGGTAAGGTTTTAAAGTAAAAACTCTACCCATGTTCTCCGGTAGCATTTGGAATTGTGCAGAGGGAAGAAGAAGGTAACTATTATTTTTAAGCATGAAGAAGAGGGTAATTAATATTTTTAAAAAGGTGGAACCCCGTGGGAGCAGAGTCACTCCCTGCCCGCGGGGGTTCAGCTTCTCTGGATGAGAGTGCAGAGTGACCTGAGCATTCCAGGGAGCGAAGGAAGATCGAGGGTGATGTTTAAAAACGCTCAAAAGCAGTTCTGTTCGTGGAAGGACAAAGAGAAGCCGCGAGAAACCTGTTTCAGCTGTGTTCGGACAAGTGAGGGTGCTCGAGCTGCGCAGCGGGAAGCGAAGGGCCCTCACCCACGCGAGAGGCTTAGGGAACAGGCTAAACAGAGTGCGAACACAGGGAAGGGGCGAGGGGCAGGCTCGGGAGGGACCCGGCGCTGCCGCGTGCGAGCAGAGCGTTCATTCCAGGCTGGATCAGGCCTTGAGCAACCCGGTCCGGTGGGAGGTGTCCCTGCCCA